GATAGATCATAATTAGCAATAATAAAATTTATTTTTGCTTTTATAATAATCATGAAAGTGATGTAAATAGAAACAATGTAATTGTAAATCTATTTTCTATTAACTTCTCTATAATTCAATCATATTTCTCTAATTTTGTTCTATTTTGATTCTCTTGATGTTAATATTGTAATTTAGTTAGAATGAAAGGACCAACTAGAATTGAATTCTCTAATTTTCTGCCTATTAGAATCTCTAATGGGAATAATATCTTTTGAAAATGAGGTATTTTTCGATAAAAAGCATCATATATTGATGTTCTGTACATTTTCAAAAAGATGAAGAATCGTTTTATCCTCTTTATAAAGCAGAGGAAATTTGAGTTAAAAACTCTTCTTTTTTACTTGATTTTTTTTTGTGCTACATTTTTCTGTGCTGTATAAAACATGGCTCAGCAAAAAAGATAGTCCAACAGTAGGTGAGCAGAAATTAAATTTTGGAAAACTTTATGAATTTTTGGTGCTTCGTGTGGGTGTGTAACAGAATCATTGGAAAACGAATTTTCAAGAACAGTTAAATTTTGCATACATCATGTATGGTCTATTTCAGTATCCATAATAATTTTCAATTGTGAAATTCAATTCTATTATTTGTTCGATGTTGCATAAATGTTCAAGACCTAGTTACAAAAATATCAGGTGTACAACTCAATATACAGCAGAGCACAAGGCTACACTCCGTATAATCCTTGATTCATATCTCCCTGTATGTACCAATAAAATATTTTGCATAAATTCTAATGCAATCCGTTGATCGGCTTACACAGAATATTTCTAGTATCGCAACGCTTCATAGAATCTCGAAGAAAGCAGAGAGTTTTTGACAAAAAAAAAAAAAAAGTTCTTTTTTGTACCTGTACCAATTTTCTCATTCCTCTTCTTCATCCTAGACAACCCCTTACTTCTTTTCAATCATCTAGGTGTCGTAACCCATCCTCATACATCTTCACACACCAACATAATAAAGTCCATATATAGCCTAGACTGTTGTCAACACAGTACAGAAGGAAACCACACCCACACCTTCACCCAACTCTAGTGGCGCGTGCAGTTATATTTTTATCCCTCACAACTGGAGCGGGGTAACACGTTGCCGACACATGGCCTTATCAAGCGGGCGGGCCTTTGTCTAACTTTAATTGAAAATATTGGAATAAATTTTCCAATAGACACCCGGACGATGGAAAACTTTGGATGGTTGACGAAGCGAGACAAAATGACAGAAGGATAGAGTATAAAAAGAGAGCTGGGCCTCTAGTAGATTCCTGTGGGAAAAATCGACAGCCAAAGACACTGAAAAGAGTTGATATAGGAATAAAAATAAAATAATAAAAAAAAATAAAAAATAGTGTTTTACGTACACATTGTAAAAAAATCAATTACCAACCTGTGTGTGGACGATTTTGAAAATATCGGTAGGAAAAAATCCCTCGATGAAATGAGAAAAAGGACACGAGCCGTGGGATAGAATCGCTAAAATGTTCAAAATCGAGTGATTGACCGATGCTGCAGCCAGAAACATTTTTTTTTCTTCTTTTATGCGTGCGAAACAGCCGAAATCCATTTGTACTCATTCGCATACTGTATATTCACTGCCAACACTACCAACTTGCTAGTCCTAACGGCTTTTAATATTTTTTCTACGTCAATCTATTTTTTGATTCACTAGTGTTGAAGTATGAACAAAATTCATCATTATTTTATTTAAACTATGATCAAGTTACTTGTTTTCAGTTTATGCATGAACGACATGACTCATGTTTATGTTTATCATTAACTCAAAACTGATGAGGTTTTTAGAAAAATCGGACCAGCTATTTGTTATGCAGAATTAAAGAACTGCAAAAATGGTCAACTAATTAATATAATTATAATAATAGTAATAATTGATTTTAAAGACACAACAAATCTTTTCATTCTTTTCACTGAGAAGTTAGTCATACTTTTGAATCTTCAATGTAAAAAAAAAAAACAAAATATTAATATTTAAATTGTTTAATTAATTATTAAAACTAATCTCTGAAGTAAGAATTTCCAATAGCTAGCAATATGGATGAATTCAATGTTCATTTCCACGATAATTATACGTGAATGAAAATTTTTAATTTATATTAAAATTGAATTGTCTACTAAAGCAAACATTGAAATGATCATTTAAATAAAAAAGGTAAGTAGTGAGATGAAAAATGTCTGTAAAATATTTAACGTTGGAATTAAAAAAAAATTCGTGTAAAGTAAATAGGTAGGTTTATATTCATGCGGACAATTTTACATAGTCAGTGCGGTTGAATATAGACTCTCATGGTGAGAGTTGAGAAAGGGAGAAAGAAGATGAGAGCTTGCATCCGCGTGCCAGATCCTACAGTAGTGGTCGCTTGTGTATGTTGATAAAAGAGGGCAAGAGCGCGTGGCTGACTCGATAGAGCAGGAATTCAGTTTGCAAAACCCTCACTCTGATATAACTGTGGGAGGAAGATCGAAAGCAATTGGTACGTGCCACGATTGCGCCTACTCTACTGTAAATATTGCTCATGCAGGGTGTCGCGAATGCTCTGGTCCATGGAAATAATCGAGTAGGAGATATTGAAACGTCAAATAATGTCCACCCACCCGACACTAGTTGGTTATTATTATTGTTTTGTTTTTATTTATTTCAATCAACTTCGAAGAATACTAAAATTATTTCTATTATTTGCTTGGCCATTTTTTCAAGCCAATTGCTAATTTTATATTTCTATTTTCTCACTTTTTTTTTTGCTATGAATTCATGTTTGGTGAAGATAAAAGTTGCTTTTGAAATTATGAGTTTTAATTTGAATTATATTACTTTACATATTTCAATATTTTTCTTTTATTGTTACTAGAGTCTTTTTTTGTTTTATTTATAAGCGAGTGTATAAAGTAAATATTATTTAATCATTTTGTAATTGAGTAGTGAATTATTTTAGCAAAATAATAAAACCCTATGTAAATGTCTAAAAATGGAATATGTTGAGTAAATAAACCTTTTAATATTTTTTTTTTTAAGTAAATAAAAAAATTTTTTTCAACCCATTACTCATTTTATGTACACTGGCTTTTTTTTATTGCTACCATTTATCATTTTTTATCAAAAAAAAATATTCTATTTGTTCCAGTGGCTTAATTAAACAACAGTAGAAAAATCGCTTTAAAATAGTGTTAATTTTAAATTCTTTTGTCTTGTTAACATATAATCTACCAAAATGGAAGTAGTTTAAAATAGAAACGTACTTCACTTGAACTAAAGTTGTGTTCAAGTCTTCATTACAATTAATTCATTTCATTTAAGGTACACTTAATAATAGCTTTTTTTTTTGTAAATGAATTTTAATTATTTATGTTAAAATATCCAATTAAAAAATTTCATTTATTTTATCCACCAACTTCTTAATTTATTTATCAAAAACTAATAACTTTTTAAATTTTTATAAATTCAGTTCTGATAGTCACTTGACATGTGTAAAAGTAAAATTTATTAAATAATTTTTTCAGTGAAGCATTATTGTTTCCAACTAGTACAATTAAGACTGATTTCATCAGTGAACAATAATCAATATTCAATTAATGTTACACTGAGAGAAATATTTATTTGCATTTACTATTATTAATTCGAAAAGTCCCTAAACAATTGAAAAAAAAGTAATTTTCCTAAACGTGATTATTTCTAATTAAAATATTTCATACTTAAAAGCTTATTATTTCTTCCAGGAATCACTTAAGCGTTAATAGATTAAGCAAAACATTTTGAACTCTAGTACATTGACAATTCGAAATGAGTCAAAAATAACAGAAGGTCATAATTTAGTTGATAATTCGCATTGCACGGACCAATCGAGCCGCAATTAACGGTATTAACGAACGGACGCGAACGAGGAGACGAGGAAAATACTTATAACTCACAGCATTTCTGGCAGATAGAGCAAACGCCCCCAAGTACCCAATAGCGCGTTATCGAAGTCGATCATTCAATTTTCGCCTGGCAAATTGTCCGCGCCGGAAACTCATATCCGGGCGCTTCCGGTATTCCCTGTCCCACCTCCCTCGTTTCTACGACCAAGGCCGCTGATGTGCAGATGAGCGACTGAAACTCACTTCCGTTATGATCGGCATCCCCTGTGAGAGAATTCGCGCTTCCCTCGAATTTCCCTACTGTTATTCCTTATTCTTTTCTCGTGCAATTTCAAACTTTTCTTCGTTGAAAAATCAACTCAAAATACCAAAGATATTTTATCTCGATACAGAACAAGAGACACTAACTATTAAAATTTATGTGCGATGATGATTAGATGATAATTTGAATTTTTTAACTGATAAGGAAAAAGTCACTCACTTTTCGATATATTTTGATTATGAACTAACTTCATAAGTCCATGTAAATTCATAAATAGAATTAGGAACAATTTACACTTGTCGGCTAAATGTATGGAGAATTTTTCTGTAAATATTTACCATGACATGCTTTATCAAAAGATGAACTTGTTTTAAAAATATAGCAAATTCTTGAAAAAAACTCCATTGACTTGTTAATTTCTATTCAACATCAGAACATAAATTCACGACGACTCGCTATCACATGAGCAGTTCTTCTTTAGTGATGACTTCTGTGCATACATTGCTGTGATTATAATCACTGTGTGGGCAATTTTAATTATTTTCCCCTATCATTCTTTATAAGATTTATTTTCTAAACAATTTAAATCACCATTTAAAAATATTAAAATATATTTTTTAAAAATAAATGCTATTTTTTTTATAGAAAAAACTTGACAAATTTTTTTGAAGAAAAAAAAATGAAATAGTTTTATTAAAAATACTGTTGTTGTCATCTCAACTGGATTTGAAAACATTGAACAAAAAAAATGTTTGTATAAAAAAAAATAAAATTAAAAACAATGTGAGTATATTGAACGTGTAATAAAAATCACTGAATGCAATAAAAATTTCATGTATTGACACATTTTTTCAATTTTATTTGAATAAATCAAACTTATAGACAAAGATGTAGAATGTTTTTGTGTGATTAAAGGGGTGAAAAAAGAACCAAAATTCCAGCAAAGTGAAAACGATTTTCTAAAGAGAGTAGCGTGACACCGTGACGTTGGCAAGCGAGCCATTAAAATTCGGTGTGAATTTACTGTAGAATAAATTCTCCGAGTTTCACAGCCTTGAGGGGTTGGAAAAAAGCGGCTTCGTGCAAACACAAGGACTTTGAGACTCTAGCTGGTTGGTGCCCGCACGCGAGAGGTAACTCGAAAGTTGCTCGCATTGTCAGCGAATAAACGGAACCGATTGTTGCACCAAGTCGTCAAGGGGTTGGAGAAAGTTTTTTCAACATTTTACTCCTCTTTCTTGGAATCTCTTCAAGTGGCTGAAGAACTCAGAGTTGCTCTTTTTTCCGTATACGAATCCAGAAGCTAAAAGGAACGAGGGAAAAGTGAACACTAGTGTAAGAGACAAATGGCAAACGACATAGCTGACACGTGAGTCTAGTCATATTACTTTCACCACTGAATAAACCCGTAAAATTGTATATCTCTAGTGAAATGTACAGGTTACTCATGATGTCATGATACTTGTTTTCTATTTTCTCTATAAAAGATTGTGCTAAGAAAACTTGGAAAAAATTTAAAACTATCAAACTTCTTGAGCACACTATCATATTTCCTAGTTTCATTTTTCAAAAAAAAAAATAAATAACTCGAGATGAAGTTGGAAATAAAGTACTAAATTTGTTTGAAATCTTCTATGCTAGAGTGTTTCAAATCAACCTTATTGGCACGTGGTCTTAAATAGTCTAGCATACACTATGATATTTTATTTACAATAGAATACAAGTTCTAATTCACTGTGTCATCATTTCAACACAGTGTTATTCAGAAGAATAATCTTGAAAACAAAAACCACTTCAAGAACTTTTGTTGATACTTCATTTTGTCTTCATCATAGTACAAGAACTGTAGAATTAATCCCTAAACTTGGAACCATTCCTAACTTCTTTTGATAGAAAAATCATCTTTTTCATTACCAACTTAATCATCTTCTATTCATAGTCGTAATTATTTAATATGAAGTAAAATAAGATTAAAATCAATATCTAAACCCTTTAAACCAATAATATTTGAAAGAATTATGATCTGATTGATATGCAGTTGCAGTAAGGCTGAGCCGATTATGGTACCACCCGGTAGTTTGGAGCATCAAGATCCAGCAACCAGCTTTACTTGTATCAATTTAGACAGGAGAGATAGTTTTCCTCAACCACTACCTGGAAGATCGTCCAGTCTTCGAAGGCAGAGCATCACTTTAAATGCTATTATCAATCACAGAAGAGCATTAATCGGGTAACTTCATTATATTTGATTATAAACGTTAAATTACATGAACAAGAAGCAATACCAGTTCGATAATATTAAAAAACATCATAAGGTTGATCAACAGTATTGTCTCGAAAGTCTCTTATCTCCACTACAATAATGTTATATACACTATTCCATCAGTTTGCGATTCCGGCTTAGCACGAACACATGCAAGCTATTCAATGCAAGCAAGCGATGCTAATTCGTTGTTCCAATATACAAAGAGAGAACGTATGAACCAAATTGAGTTTGATCAAGTACACAACAAACTAAAGACTTGTAACAATACGCAACGCCAGTCAAATACCACAGTCGTGGCAGATCTTGTTCTACACAAAACTACAATCATTATATATATGTACATGGAGATATACATTACACAAATCGATGTAAACAAAATTAAACTTTTATGATGAAAAGTTTACTCTCTAAGCAATATCAGTAATTTAAGTTTCAAACTTTCCTATTGATATTGCCTTCAATCCTATCTCAATTTTTTAAAGACACCTATGGCTCACTTTGCTTTGTTTTGTTATCAAGTTTCAAACCGTTTCTATACAGTTTATTATCATTATTTTCATCATTATTGGTGGTATTATTATTATTTTTTCATACGCTAATTAATAATCATTCAAATAAAGCTATAAAAATTAATTTCACTTCAATAACTTTGTGCTATTCTTGGAGACTTCTTATAGATTCAAAGTTTAAGTTTGAAGTTGATAATTAAAGATTCATGTTAATTGTTAAGATTATTTAGATTGCAATAAATGATCACACTTTTGGTCATCAGTGAACTTTGTTGTTGCAACATGTCTGAGTTATGTTACAGCAATAAGAATATTATTGTAGTTGTACCAAAACTCCTGTGAAAGCAACAGTTCTTTAGCATGTCATGGTAACAGGACTGGTCCTGCGGTGATGACAAGAAAATCATATGGTCTCACTACAGCATAATTCTGTTGCAGCAACCAGTCTCTTGTTATAATAATAAGAGATGTTTTAGGATAGCAACAGAATTGTGTTCTTCAACATGACATCAACTCATAAAATATCCTGTGATACAAACAAAATAATTATAGTAGTTGTAATATTTTTGATGAAATTCTAAACATTAATAGCTTGAGGTCTTCTCATGCCATTGTTTTAGAATTAACAGTTTTTGTAAAAATATTTTCAGTTTTTTTTTAGGGATAAAAAGAGATTATTTTGGAAGACCCATCAGTTTCTTTGTAATTGTAATACAAAATCTACTCTTATTCCAAATGTCTAGGTTTTTACAGATACTTGAAAAACTTGAGATGTTGATTACATGAATTGTGTGATATTTGGCAAAAAGCTATATTCTTATCTAAAAAAAAAAAAAATCTTAAAATGTTTTATATATATTTATATCTAACAACAATTGCTTTTTTTCTATCATAACTTCATTTTCTATTGTTCAGACATAACTTATAGAAAAATAATTGTAATGAAAAAAAAATTATTAACTTCATAAAAAAGAAGTTTTCTGCTGAAAGTTTTGTAATTAAGTTTTTAAATTATTACTTTCAAACATTTATTTGTGATTATATAATCAAATATAGTTATATGAACTTGGTATATAAATGAAGTTCCAAGTTAAAATTGTTTATAACTGGAATGAAAACTAGACTTGTTAAATGAATGCTCGTACAGGAGATTTATTTTTATTATGAAGAATAATAAAATAATTTTATTGGTATTAATGATGATAATAATTAATTATTATGAATAATGATTGATCCTAATGACAGATACCAATATTAATAGCTGATAATATCTTTATTTCCAACAGAGCTTTGATCTCAGGAATAGGCAGCAACTTGTCTCTCCCATCTTGTGTACCTCAAGATCAAAATACTCCACATAACAATCCCACAACATTTGCGTTCGGTCATGAACCACGTCTACAGGTTGCTGACTGTAACGGAGATAATGAGTCTCATCAAAGGAGATCACCGAGACACTCAAACCTCCTCCAACTTACGCCAGTTAACAGTGCTGCGATTCCATTGAATTCCCTAGATACCTCGAAAGGTAATGATCACCTCTATTCAGATATTTATCATTGCTGAACGTTGATTGATAATGCAAGTTAAACTATTTTATCATTAAAGGAAAAGCGTCTAATCAGTGTCATCGAAGAATTACACCAACTTCATCACGCCATCGCAAGGAAAAGCACCGAGCTGAATTAATTTCAACTGTTAGTACCCTTTATGCTAAATTACTGATCGTTATTGGTGTTACGGTTCCTGTTACTGCAAGTGTAAGCCAGAGAGTACCTGCTATTCTAGACCAGGTCAGTCTTCCTCGTTGGATAAAGATAGTGATTTATTTTCAACTTAAATTATCCAAAAAGTAAACTAATGGATTTTAAGAATTAGTGTTTACACCTCAGGAAATTAAAGGGGAGTAAAAACTAATTTCTGAATTTTTTATCAACTTCTTAATATTCCTTAATTTAATTTAAATACTGGTCTACAGTTAATCTGAACCAGTGTTGGGCATTAAAAAAATTTTCTATTTTTAAATTTGATTTGTTTAACAAAAAAAATTTCCTCCATTCAAGTTAATTGTTTTTTAGAAATATTCTTATAACATAAGAATAAATATTTTGATCATGGTAGATCAGAGGTCTAAATGCTTTTTAATTTCCGATAATTAGACAATTTATATAAAGTATAAATTAGTGTTTCATTCTGTTTAATTTCTCTTACCATAATGTTAATATCATTAAATAGAAATCTTTATGTTTATGAAACAACGTTCCATCGACCATCGCTAATATCATCAGACCTTTCATTATCTAATTATGAAAGACTCCAAAGTAGTACTAGCTAACCTATAATACCACTGATATATTCATAGTGGTCTCTTTGTTACTTACAGCTACTTCTCGTTAAAGTGGAATTGATTTCTCGCCCCATCACCAATACCCCAGTAACATTGACTAAAGTGACAGATTCACAAACAACGTTTAAACAATCTAATAAAGCATTAATTTATAAAAAAGTAATTCAATTATTTGTTTTTAGCGTACAATTATTCTAAAAAATACTAAAGCTTCATCAAAGTGGAAAAATAGCTTTGAAAATGTCAACTTTTAATTTTTGTTTTAAACTGTCACATAAAAGTATTTAGAATTTATTTAAAAATTAACTTTTTACTAAAGAGAAGAAGTAGTTAATAGCTAGAAAATATATATAATTCTTTAAAAGCAACATGTTACAAGTGATGACATATTTTAAATACTCCATAATCGTTGAAGAGACTTTTAAGATAGGAAGTTACTTGTTTTTATACTTAAAGAGCTTTATACCCTCATTAATTCCGTTCTATTGGTCTCATTGATCAAAACCATACCTAGACAAAGGCGAAGTAAGTGTGGATGAAATTTTTTTTCATCATCTTCACATACCCTAGTGGTTTTGAGAAACCAACTTGGTTCATGTTTCTCCAGACTCTCATCAGGGATCTAACCAAGATGTTTTTATATAGGTTTTATAAATAAAATAAAATTATAATAAAATATTAAACTCCAAGTTATTCATTTAGAACTAGAAATCAATCTTGAGAATAAATATTTCTAAAACATACTAGATTAAATAGCATCATTTATTGCATCTGTTGCATTCACTCTATAACTTTTGTTAAATTCCTATCAATAATAAATCATTCCACCCATCAACTTAATTTAAACTGAATCATATTTTAGAATAACTATTATTATATTTTATGATGATGTGGATATTAATGAGCAACCTTTCCATACCAATATTGATGATTAATATTCGACCTTTATATTTGTAATATTTCCATCATTTATCATGAAAAGCAGTAAGAGTTGATTTAAAAGAAGAAAAGGAAAATACTTCACTAAAGTCTTATTATAAATAATAAAATTAAAAAAAGTTCTTTTGCCTTCTAGGGATTTTATCTATATCTATACTTGGTCAGTGTGGCATTTGTTATCGCCATGTATACAATCCTATTGCGCGACAAAGCAGTAAAGAAGATGCTTACACAAAGTGGAAAAGAAGGAATAACTTTTGTCCTAGACGGACATGGTTGCAAACGACAAAGTTTTCAGGTATTTACTTAAAAATTTAATATAAATATCAACTTGTGATATTTTATTTTAAGAAAGAAGTTTGAAGTGCAGTCAATAATATAAAGTTAAGTCAACTGATACAATTTAATAAGAAGTAAAAAATTAATTTTCATTTGATGGAGCTTAGAGAAAAATAACATTATCTTTATAATTAAACATGAAATAATTATGATGGTTCTTATAGGAAAATAATTTTATTAATTTAGTAAATATTGATATATTAATAATTTTAATATTATAATCATTTTTTAATTAAATCAATTACTATTATCTAGATGATATATTTCAATGATTGCTAATAAATCTATATTTATCAAGAGAAGTTTATTTAATCAAATAATTTTTTATCTAGAATGATTCTGGAAAAACAATGGTTATAGCAAATGTAAAAAGCAATGAATATTTATAGAAATACGTAAATTTTTTATTATATACGATTTCCTGCATTTCAAATTTATTGTCTCTTTTGACCTATTTTACTTTAATTGATAGAAATCTACTTTGCATATCTTCAAATGTCATATATAAAATATTCCAATACTTTTATTATAACAAAACATTTGATAATAAAAAATAACACTTGCTGTTTGATCCTTTTAGTCATGGTGGCAAATATTTCCACTCATTGTTATAAATCTTAATATTTGAGAATATTATGATTCAATTTGTAGCTTTTGTTATATCATAGAAATTAAAACGATATCATAAGGAATAAAAATTAAAAGATAATAACTAATTTTTAATAATTTTTGCTATTTAATTTTTAATGAGTATTTTAAATCGATTATAACTTCTTTTTTAGTTTAGCCGTCTTTTCCTGAATTTTGGGTCAAATTGAAGATTATTTTTTAAATGTATGAAACGAGGTGATTAAAAAAGATGACCCAACATTTTTGGCAGGTCAAAATTTATATAACAAAAAAAAGGGGCATTTTGTCACCATTTTGTTCAAATATCTCGTAAAATATATGATGATTCTTCAAATAAAATGGTCAGTAGTTTTTTGTAATCATTTGAGGAAGAGAATGAGACCTCAACCAGCCCTATGTGGTCAATAGTTTTTTTAATAAATTAAATTGTTTATTAAACGCAAGTGTTGGGTAATTTTTACCACGTCTACTACTTGCTTTCAAAGCAAGCTAAGAATTATTCAATGTTGTTAAAAAATTTTTTGATAAATAAATTTAGCTTGAAAGATTAAAAATTATTGAATAATTTTTAATTTTCAAAACAATAAGAATCTTGTAATGATCCTGAGTAAAAAAGAAAAAAAAAAGATCAAAGGATTTTTAAATAAATTTATAGAAAACAATAATAAAATACGACAGTAATAAATGTGTGGTAAAAGCATAATGATAACGAAAATAAAAGTAAATCTGTTCTTTAACTAGCGGAATAAACTCGGTACGGAAATGTTATACCGGTAATTCGAAGTACCGATAATTGTTCAGCGGATGTAGCACAGAAACTAGCAATGAATGAGAAAAAGAAAGAGTCTAAAAAATTAATATCAAAAGTAAAAAGAAAAAAAAAAATTGATCCAACAGGGACAACAATATGGAAGCTTCTGTCTACGACTAGGTGCCATCGGCTTCGGGGCAGGCTCGTTAGTGTTTACTGGATTGCAAATCGGCGCGGAAATAGCATCCGGTGGACCATTGAGGGCGATTACTCCGAGTGCAAGACTGCTCTTGGTTACCGCTCAAATGCACTTCATATTTCTAAATAGTAAGGACCTCGAACTTGCCAAGCATGGAGCTCTAGCTAAATTAGGACTAATGCATATGATTGCTACCAATCTCTGTGAATGGCTTCAGGTAATTTTAGTTTATTTTATATTACATAAAAGCTTCATCTTTATTGTTATTTCTATCAAAGAATGTGATTTTAGACTTAAATTCACTGGAATGTGAAAATTTAACTTTATTGTGTCATTATTGAACAATAAAAATTAATCCTTCACATGATATTTAAGACTCAGGCAATCCTTAAATGCCTATTAAAAAAATCAATGATGATAGAAAAATTTTAAACACCATTTAATGTTATAATAAAAAGCTTTTAATGCATTAAATAATTAATACATTTAAAATTGTAATATACAATTATTTATAAATTTATGTTTAAATTTTCTAATATGCTTTTAAATGTCTTACAACGTAAAAATATAATAAAATTACGAATTTCAAAAATCGACTCCATTATAATGACATCCTAATGAAAAGTTGAATAATTGAAATAAATAAATTAAAATTAAAAATGAAATAAAGTCAGCTTCGATATGTTAATGTATATAATAAAATATTTTAATACACGTAAATATTTTATTTAATTAGGACTTGCTGAAATTATAACATGATTAGAAACTGAAAACTTTGTTTACCTAACTCAGGAGTCCATTAGTTGAAAATTCAACTATGTAGGCTATTAATTTGAAGTTATTCATAAATAAAGAGCAATCAAGTATACTTCATTGAATAAGCCAAGAACAAATGAAAATTTACTTTGCTTAACATTCGATTCATTTTTGATTGATAGATGTGACGGAAGTACTTTTTTTAAATTTATCCTTCCGTAAACATGATTTTGGTGGGAAAATTCTATTATTACATCTCAAAAAATATTGAAGTTATAAACTAAAGTAAACTTTTATTAATATTATATTTATATTCAAAAATTAATTCAATTTTAGTGTTTATTGACTGATGGAATATTTTAAAATAAACACCAAGGATGATTAGAAATAACAAACAAATTTTAAATGGTTTTTTGGATTTATCAAAACTAAGCAAATGTTGACGAGTTGGAATATTAGCTGATGCTTCATTGGCATATTAAAAACAATCTTTACATTATTTTGAAGTAAAAATTTTCATTTTTAAATATTAAAAAATAAAAACATCAATGCTGGTTTCTAATGATAAAATAATCCAAGCTACACCACAAGTTACAGTGGTTATTTAATATCATAAACCTCAAAAAATAAAAGTTAACATCAATAAGCTGTTTAAAAGATAATCACACACATAGCTACCATGATGTGTTCTTTAACATTATTCTATAATAATCTCTTTACATATATAATCCAACTATAATGAACAAATTTTTTATCATTTTCCACAATCATTCACATATATTTTACAAATGCATTAGCTTTTTTTTTTCTATAATTGAAAATTTTGCAAAGCATTATAATATAACTGTAGAGCTAAAAGCTATATTAAAATAAAACAAATTCGTGAAAGTAATTATAGAATAAAAACTTTTTTATATTTTCTTATTATTGCCCATAACAGGCACTTGTAGAAGAGACAAGGCACGAAATAGCACAATTAGAACTCCACGACCACGAACTAAGTGAGGAAGGAATATTAAAGACACTTTTAACTGATGCCAGTCCTTTTCTATTTCCCTGTACGATTGAATTTAGTCTCATTTGTGCAGTCATTTTATTTGAAATGTGGAAACGAGTTGACAAGATGACCGTTGTAAAAAATGATGGTCCAATGAGATCCTTACATCAACTAAGTATTGATTGCAGTAGTGCACACCGAGGTCTTTTTGGTGGAATTCTAGTTATCGCTGCGACAGTTTTAAGTCTTATAATGTTTTTTGTTCTAAAAGAATCCAAGTCAAAGATGGCTATTGAACAAGTAACTGCTCTAGAAACGGCGATTTTAATAGCAGGTATTGTCTCTTACAGGTCACCAATACTACCTAGAATTTTACTGACATTCCAATATTATTAAAACTTCACATATTTTTATAAAAAAGAAATATTCTATTGTTTACTAAACTATTTTCTTGGAAATATAAATTAAAAGTTCAAATTTCAAATGATCAGTGTTGATAAAATTATAATAAATCATTAAAAATTCATTGATGAACTGAGAAAATTATTTCATCAATTTTATTATCAAAATCGAATAGAATTGGTGGAATATTTCTGAAAAATGTGTCTTAAATTCTTGTGGTGTATGCCAATTCAGACACTTTTATCAATTGGCCATTTTAAGATACGGGTCCAGGCATGGTACGGAAGGTACTCTATGCCCAAAAAGATTACCAGGTCATAAACTGTGTAAATAATTGGTCCAATTTAGAGTAAATGAAATAAATAATTTTTAAACATTTTTTGTTTTCTAAAAAATATTAAAATGGTAAACTTTTATAACTAGATTGTATTTTGATGAGTTTATAATTTTCTACTTACACTTTTACTTTTAATTTAAACTAGTAATAATTTATATTAATATATCACTTTATGGCCATTAAAATAAATATTTCAATCAATAATACTTGATTATTTTAATTTATACAAATTGTATGTAGTTTAAAAATTTATCTCATAATTTTCTTTATAATTTTGACAGTAAAATTTACGAAATAATTTTTCAGTATGGTTGAAATAATCAGTAACAGAATTATTTTCTGAAATATTGCAATCTTAATTTATCGGAACATTTTGTATCATATCCAATAACTTTTTGTCCAAAGAAATAAGACAAAAGTGTCAATAAGAAAATTAATCTAAAACTATGTATTTCTTTTGTTTTCGTTTATCAAGGTGCGATTGCAGCTGTAAGCTGCGCGTTCAAGTTACGACGTTTAGAATTGAAGAACACAAAACCCGCACCTCATCTTGACTCGACTTTGCTGGCGGCTGCACAAGCGGGTGTTTATCTTCATTGTTTGTTTGGTGCAGTGGGTGGTATATTGACAATGGGTCCAACTTGGGTACTATCGCTTACTGCCGATTTCATCGCTTTGATTCAAAGCACCAGTCAAACTCTTCTAGTCAAGGTATATTTTAGTAATATTGTCATTTAGATTATAACTCGTAATTAACTCCAAGATTGGTGAAAAGATTATTTTAAGAATAATTACAACAATTAATTAATGATTTAATTTTAGGGAATGAAGCTTGATAGTATACTCTTCATCTAAATTAGAATATCATTAACTATACACTGTAATATTGCAGCAATCTTGATAACACTGCATTTTAATGAAAAATAATTCAACTTTAAAAATTAATTTTCAAGTAATCATCAAAAGTATGTAAATGTTTTTTTAAAAATCTATGACATAGAAAATATCAATCCAAGTGAAGTACCATGAAGTTTATTTTTCTGTACAAAACGTTTTTATAGAAGAGTAAAACTTTACTAAAAGTGTAACTGTGTGAAAGCATCACTTGACTTTAGTTTGAAATTTCACACCATAAACTTCACTGAAGCTGTATTAAAAGCTAGTGACTATTTTCCATTTTCTTATTCTTCTGAATGATTTTTTATAGATGACTTTTTTTTTATTCTTCAATATTCCCTAGTTCCGTTTTTATACGATGCTCAAGACTTATTGAAGTTGAAAGTTGAAAGTGATGTGTGTTACCTTCAACAGTTAATTACTTCGTTAAAAAAAAACTCGTAAAATGTTTACTAAAAAGCATATCATAGCACAAAAAAAAAAAGCTTTGAAATGCTGCACTTGGATTTCTTTTAAAAAATCTTTTTCACACCTTGGTCATTTTTATCATTCTAGACAAATTAAAAAATCCCTTTCCATAGTAATTTTGGAAATAAAAATTCTATCATTATCATTGGATTTCAATAGTTTTTAACAACAACAGAATTTCCAAAAGCTCTAAAATTGTTCAATCTTCAATTCCATCAATTAATACTGTCACAAAGCAATTGACTGAATAATGGATTGATTAATTCATTCCAAATTGATAATAGCTTTAATTGAATAAAAATGAGTATTCCTAAATGTTCTATTTCTCATGATGAATCATGAGAAGCTTCCATTTTCTGAAATTATATATCTCTAACAACTATTGAGGTTTAAATCCTATTAAATCAACATATATTATTTCTCATCAAGTCAGAAAACAAAAGAAAAAGTAGGAGTTTTGAAACATAGAAGCTTGAACAATGAAAGAAGTTTATTGTTCATTCATTTTTGCTACTCATTTAGGTAGATGTTGGAATATAAAAGTAATCATTAAACTTGAACTCATTGATTTAGCAGTGTCTAAAAACAATTATATTTATTGTCATTAGATTGCTTGGAGACGACGATCATCATCACCTGAAAAACCAGGAAAAGAGCTGATCACTTTCCTAATTGTTGTCAATATTGCTCTATGGACAGTAAACACATTAGAGAAATCTCGAGCGGACGTTCGACCTGATCATCTGCGATTTTTCGGTGTCTGGGCTTGGACTATCATCACTCACGTCTCCATGCCATTAGCAATCTTCTTTCGTTTCCACTCAGCCATATGTCTCTTCGAGGTGTGGAAAAGTTGCTACAAATATCGACCACATGGATTTTCATCAAAGCCTAATTAATGAACGGCTAGACAAATAAAATATCAATTAGTTTGAAATAATATTTTCATACTCTACTTTACTTTTAATCAATCAAAACAATTAATTAATGTAAAAATGCCAGTCATTCCAACAATCAATTACATGATTCTATTATTTACACTAATTACTAACTATTTATCATCATAAATCAATCAGTTTATTTTTCTAAATTATATAACTTTTAAAGAAACATTTTATTAAAAATGAAGAAGTTAGATATTGAAAATTTTTAATCAACTTTTTGATTAAAAGAAAGAGTTGAAACATATTTGATATTATTAAATAATAAAATGTTAATTCGAGTTGAATACTGTTTGATTGATTCAACAAATGTTGTTATATAAAAGTTTAAATATGTTGAAAAAATAATTTATTTGATAGACAAATAATTTTTATGAAACTCCTGTTAATTAAATATTAAATTGAAACGATTGACTTTTATAAACGTTTAATGCATTCATAATTGATAAGAATATGAAAAATTAGAAATAAAATGATCTGATTAAAAATTAAATCAGATATAGAAAGTGTCTTTAATAAAATTTAATAAAGTAATTATTTAGATTCAATATCGTATAGATAAAATTATTAATGAAATAAAAATTCTAAAGTTTGTTTATTGTGTTATTAATTTTGTTTTATAAAATATCGAAAAGAGGATGATGTATAGATTTTTATTAACTAAACTATTTTGTCGACTTTTATGGACTAAAAAAGTTACTAGATAATATTATTTGAGTTGCTGTTACTGACGAAAAAAATTGATAGAGGTAAAGTGAAGCTAGTAGTACAACACGACGATGGTCACGTCGTGTCAGACAAGAGAAGCGTTCGTCGACAGTTTGATACGGTTTACGGGTAAACACATTTGGGTGGCAATCATGTTGTGAAGTGAGCGGTGGTTGCCGCGGGACCGCGACGTCGAGAAGGACGAAGTATTGAAGCAGAGAAGTGCAGGGGAGACAACAGACATGAACGGGGATAGTAAGTGCGCTTGGTCGTTGGGTCGTTACTGAAGAGCTCTCATAGCAACCCTTTGTTACTCTTGCTTCATCACCCAACCAACTTTGTACATCGAAAAGGGGGTGCGTGAAGGCCCATGATTCAGTTGACCGGCTATTAAATGTTCATCTTCTCTACGACTACTTCAAAATCCGTCTTCCATGTTATTACCACCGTACTTATTCGTTTTGGAGCTTTGAAAATTTATCACAAATACTTTATCGATTTTGTTCAGCATTGTGATGATGCTAATTTTTCTTTTTACATCAGCTTTTAAATAATTTTAAACAGCAATCTTAATTTAGAAAAAAAGAAGAACTGAATAAAATGATGCTATTGATTAGCTTTAAAATATCAAAAAGCTAGGCTAATTCTACTAATAAGAGAGACTTTAAATTCCTCTTTTCAGTCCTAGCCTTTCAATAAATAGACAGGAATGAGTAATAACAGAATTTATTAAATAATAATTATTGAAATATTATAAAATAATATTAATTATTATTATAATTGTGGGTTAATTGCAATAAGTAAACTTTATATAACCGATCAATGTCTTGAATAATTAATTTTAAAAATATTTTCTAAATTGTTATTGATGATTTTGATTTTGTAAATAAATATTTTAGAAAAATTGTAAGAAAATAATTGAGTGTAATAAATAATTTTCTTTTATCATTTATAAGTTTTTTATATTTATGTTGTTAGAATCAATATCAATAAAAATGAATAAATGTATATCTTTAAAAGAAGAAAATATTTATTTAGAAACTTTAATAGAAATAAATTAAAATTTAAAGAACGAAAATAATAAATTATCTCTTGAAATAAAATTACATATCCATCAAAATTATTACAATTAAAAATACTAAGCATCATAAAATTTACTATGTAAAATTAATAATTATTTTATTATTAAATAATTAAAAGCAATGGTTCTTCACTATAAAAATTGTATAAATTAAAATAAATAAGAATTATTAATTTTTAAAATATTAAAATCTCCAATTAATGCTGAGAAAACATAGCTTATGTTGAGTATAATAAAAAAAAATCTCATAAAATAAATTAATATGAGAAACAATGTAAAAAAGTGATTAAAATTTTTTTATAAACCATAAATGACAGGGATAATAGTGAAATTAAAACAGTGAATGATTAGTTATCAAATGAAAATATAATAAATCCCTGTTGATTACTTGAATTTCAAAAAATAATTATTCATATAAACCTACGAGAGAATAAATGTAAAAAATTTTAATCGACAAATAAACAATGTTGAACGTTTATATAGATAAGTTTAAAAAATGGTTGAGATGTTGGATATACATCACCAAAAAAATTTCAGTAAAACGAAAACATGGATCAAAACACCGAAGAAACAACAACGACGACATCGGCCGAAGGAAAGAATCCTTGATATATCCGCCAAACACAGCAGGATCCCACTTGCACGTCTTGTGGATTTATCGAAGCCAAGGATAATAGATGGGCTCTTTCCAACCTAAAGTCCTGGCAGAGAGTAAATGCCTCTAAATAATACAATACGTCAATGCAACATGGCTGAAAAATTCTTAAAATTATTGATTTTAACTTTGACGTTTATAAATAAAATATCTGAATGTAAACCGATGAAAAATAATGAAGTCAAAGAGTAGCAATTATAAAGATTTAATCATAAAAAAAATAAAAGTCATAAGAAGAAGGAACAGTAATTGAGGATTCTCAGGAATGTATTTAATTCGATTTGATGGGTCGCCGGCGTTAAAATTTAAGAGAAAGATAAGAAGTGCAAGGAGAAATAGTAAGGGATGGGCGCACGATTTTGTTTCCGCAGGAAATGATGCCTTCGTGGCTACCGATTATCACTCCATCCTTGATTCTCCTCACCCAGTCTTACTGCCGACGGCTTTGGATAACCCTCTCCGCAATCTACTCTTTTGCCCTCGACCTCCAGGGGATGAAAATCGTATTTATATTCCGTCTCCCGCGTTCACCAGGTAAACGACAAAGTCGGCCGAGTCTAAAACGAACTGTGAACGTAGAGCTAACAAGTTTTGAATGAAATAAGAAACTTGTCAAATAAATAAAGTAGCTATGTAGCTAAAAATTATGTAGAACAGGGTAAATTTTTATACAGATATTAAAAATGGTAATATCTCGTTGGCATGTTGACATATCTTTTTAATTTTGTTCAACTTATTAAATCGATAAGCTCAAAGTTTTATAAATTTTATACTATTAAAAAAAAAAAATAAAAAAAATTGTTACTCAATAGTTATGTACATTATAATAATAATATAATAAAAAAATTTATGCAAAACTTTGTTTTTTATAGTAATTTTTAATTTAAATTATAATTTTTTCCGCGTTTCATTCTGATCTCTTTTATTCAATTTTTGATGAAAATTGATGGAGTCTTAAAAAAATATTTAAGACTTTAGAAATCAACTACGATGATCCTTCGTTTTACTGGATATAATTAGGTGCCACATAAGCAAAAAGTGAAGCAGAGAAAATGCAAGATATAATTGAGCGGTAAAGATCTGGCTCAGACTATTGGTAAGATGAGTACCTTAGTAATACCAGGTGGTCTAGGGAGATGTGATTTTCGCTGTATGCCCGGATTAGAAGCCGGCTTTTCGCTTTCTCTGTCTACATGACCTGATAAGTATTGTCTCTTCAAATACTAAATACCAATTTTACCGTTTCCAGAATATGAATTTCTATTTTGATAAAGGATATAAATATTAATATATAAATATAAATTCATCAAAACTATAAATGTAATAAAATTCTGAGTTAATTTATTACTTTTACAAGTTTCCTAAGATGAATAAAGTCCGGGAAATATTTCAAAATAAAACTCTATTTGTCGCAAAGAGATGTGGCAAAACTTTTGCTATCAGAAACCTTTAGTAAGACCGGATAATCGGATCATTCCCAGTTCTATAAAAATGAATTTAAAAAAATGAAGGAAAGACACGTTCGTGCTTGCTTCACATCTAAACTCAACTTACAAATACTTTTCGTTATTATAACTAAATGTGTCTGGTCACAAGAATACAAAGTAAACGGCTCATTATTTTTTATCTCTTTCCTTCATTTGTTGCTAACGCTCAAGTTTTCATTTATTTTATCACTACTATCTTCCTTATCCACTTATCTATTAATCAATGTACTGTTTATCCGCACTACTGTGTATTTCATTAAACAAAAATACTCAAAAATTAATTAAAAAGAACGTAAAAGATAAATAACTAGATTTATATAATCTGAATTAGTTTTGAATTCAATATGATGATTCAAAATTTTCCAGATTAAAAACTAAATTGTAAAAATATCACGTCTGAATAGACGAATATATTATATGAACTCAGTATAAGTAAATACTCAAGAGATATAATCAATCAATTAATTAATATTATTTCTATAATGTCATATGATCTTATTATTATTATTATCTAAATAGTTTTAAATTTATCATGTCATATCATCAAGTTTGAAAACTATTAAATTATTGACAATCAGTAGAGTAATCACAAGCAATCAAGTAAATATTAAACATTTGTATAAAGATGGTAATTAATAAATAGTACTCATCCTTCTGAATGCACCAGTATTCTTCTTGATAAATTTTTTCAATTCACAAGTTGTCAAATGTTTATAAGGTCGAATCACTTTGTAACTTTTAATGGCCGTACCTTGAAAAAGTAAATAATATTTATCAATCATGTTTACTGACATTTACTTACAATTGATTATTATATTAACTGTTATACTTACTTCTGGAACTCCCATTCACGATTATCTAGAGGACATACTTGGCGAGTTTTCAACCATCGAGAAATACAATGGAAGTGAAATGCATGCTATTTAAGGATAAAAATACATTTCCATTATTTATATGAGTATTTTATGATTAATTCTAGAAGCTTATTGTATTTGTATTGTATTTACTTACATTGCACACCCCCCAGGCTACTGTGCATTCTTCAGTGGTAGCTGAAGCTTGATTTGCCTGACATTCAATGCATAAATCCATTATATGATTTCTACAAATAGCACAGTTGTCAACAACAATATCTAGAAAATAAGAACAATCATAATACTGACTGACTTGTGAGTAATATAAATAACTAGACAAAAAATAGATTAAACATTGATGTCTAACTTATGTCTGCATCTTTTATTAATAGTCAGAATCTAATAAATTCGTTCATTAATATCCTTTAGTTAATTAATTGTGAAAAAATATAATTACTCTGTGTAGGCACAGTAAGGATAAACAAAAATTAGCCATAAAAAAAATCATGACTGAGGTTACGTACCCCACGCCCATAACGCAACAGCATTCCACTGAAATTAAAACATTAAATGTCATTATTATTTTATATATTTATTATTTAAATACATCAATAGTACAGCAAAACAAAGAAAATGATGACAAAGCATGAATAAGAGGTTAGAAAACGTATTGCTATTTGTCATCAATAACTAGAACTGAATTTATGGAAAATTATTTATGTGCGTATTTATTTAAATACCTTCTTGACTTCGAAACGTTTTTTATCGCCTTTTCCACTACTAGAAGTAGGTAAATCAAAATCTTGTTCATCAACTTCCATTTCTGACGCCATTTTAAATTTCGGACGCGGTTTTCTGGACAAAAATTGCAAATATTCCCCCACTCTTCAACAAACTGCGCATGCTGGTTTCACAATGCATTCAAGATGGCAGATACCGGCTTTTCCTAAACTACGCATTCTGTACTTTATAAAAGCCAAAAGAAATATAATAAATATGTAATTTATTTATAATTTACATTTATGAATATTGTAAAGAAAATCTTATTGAAAATCATTCCCTCGGAGTGTGTTTTCGTACTTTTATATATTTATAACCGGTAATTAATCAACTCAAAGTAAACAAACAACGATCGAGTTTTGTTTGAAGCAGTCGCCGCAAGGGGGCGCTACTGGCTAGAAAAACGCGGGAGCGCAATATGACGCAGTTGCGCAATGTGTATGTGTGTACAGCATCTAAATAAGTTTTACGCGTTATTTTATTAATTTTTCAGCAACAAATAGATGAAATAAATAAACAAATAAAGTAAAAATGTAACAATCAAGAATTATAAATGTCGATAAATAATCATTGTATATATATTAAAAAGAATATAATTAATAGAAATATTAAATTCCTAGAATAAGTAGTGCCGGTGTTTTTCATAAATTCCAAGTAATGTTTATATTTAGACAATAAAAATGTGATAATAAAAACAAAAATGATTACTATAATAAATTAAATGTGTCAATGTCTATAGTAATCAAAATCTATTGGAAGCTAATAAAAAATACATATCAACAAGTGAATCAAGTAAGTTATGACAAACAATAAAAGGTTTCACGAATTCTTCTAGGGTAAGTCATGATAAATATTTTTTATGCTCCATTCTTGAATTATAATGTAAAACTATGTTGATGTGAATAAACATGTACGATCATAAATATCTAACATTGAAATACTTTAATTAAAATGGCAGATTGTTCATACATCAACATATTACAAACATTGACAATTTGTTTAGGAATAAATCGATTGAAATCTGATAGAACAATCCATGCAAGGTATTCGTGGAAAATGGTAATGTAATTAACAAAATTACATTAAACAGTTTAGATAATATTTCGATTTATTATTAAACGTGTCTACTAGATACAAATCAGACAACACAAACTCCGATATCATTATTTGATAATACGGTAATAAATATTCATGTATGATCATTAAATATCATAAATATTAAATATTTTATATTTAGCGTAAATATATGTGGTCGATATTCACGCATATATTTATTTATTTAATATAAATATTCATGTCAGAAACATACATACAGATTTTAGATTATTAAAAATAAAATATGTATATTTGTTCCATGATAGGTTTATATAATTGCATTCAAAGAATAATACAATTTTTTTCACATAAGAAATAGTAATAATTTCAGTATAGTTTATTAGATCGTTACACTGGCTATCACATAATTGATTGTGAGGGCTTTTAATTATTACCAGGAGCCCAATATCTTCTGATTTTATTCAATTATCATTTGCTAAAAAGCAGCTTGCATCTCTTTTTTGTTATCAAGTATTTGTTTTCATAATTTCTATTTTTTTTTTTTGCGTTAAATAGTTTGATGTTGATATTTGTCGTCTGAATCATCAAAAAGAAAATTTGAGAGAGAAATTTCTTTTCATTTATTGTTAATTATTTTTAGCTACACACATTTTTAACTCGCAAATAATCAATCTATTAAATAACCCACTGTCCAAAAAAGCTTTTTTTCGATAACTTATTAAAAAAAAAATTGATCATTTAAAATTTCAGATGATTTAATTTCTTACATTCAAAATTTATTGCATCAACAATTAGATAGTTTCTTTTTTTACCAATATATATTTTACATAAAATATATTTAGAATATTTCCGAGCTAAAAATGTATTTTGCTGAAAATTCTTAATAAGTTATATTCGTCAAAGATTGCATAACACATTAGTTTACAATTTCTCCATTAAAATATTTATTTTTCCAATGAGTTTATCACCTTGTAAGTAGATATCTCAGCACATGAGTGTGAGATCATAATATTGCCCTCTAAAATACAGATACAATGACACACGTGCTTGAATAATTCCATTTTTTTTTTTCATTCACATATTAAGAATATACATATCTAGGTACTTTGTGGCGGCGCACAATCGTCTAGAGCATCGGATCGTATTCAGTAACGAATGATTGATTTGTTATCATGAGTATTGAATTAGGGAATCTTTTAATTATCGAATTAGTTGGCGAATAAAATGGGTATCACATTTTTATTATCATCGATTTTCACAACACGTTCACTAGAAAACAATCAATACCAATATGTTATTGAGCAAAGCTGAGAGGAGATTCGACGTGCATTAATTTTTATTTTTATTTTCAATGTTACTCGAATTCCGTCCCGATGTTTTACAGCTCGATTAGCCACCATCTAATGTTATCAATACATAACTAATTTGTAATCATATCAATTGATTGTGCGTTATCGTATAGGGTAACGCATTTAAATATAACAATTAAGCATGCAAACAAAAAAAAAAATATAACATAAATTGTGCGACAGCTTTTTGCTCTTGAATTTTTTAGTTACATAAATACCATGATCATTTTTTTCTCTTATTCGTTCGTTATTTACAGTTGAAATTTCATCTAAAACATGTAAATTGACATGATCTTCTATGCTAATTCCTAACAATCATTATGATTGTTTGTATTTAATCACAAGCAATAGAATTTCATTCCAGTTTTTTACTTTCAATAGCTAAACTTTTACAATATGCACATCCATCTTTGACCATTTAATATGTAAAATAGATTTGTTCGTTCGCCGGAGAAAAAGTGTTTCGTAGTATAGTTTAAGTTATCATAGTTTATTAATAATGACATGCCATTGTTTATAATTTTTTCCTTATAAAATTATTGATCACTCTTTGTAGATCTCTCAATGTCATTGCTTGTATGGCACAAGTGGTCAGCTCAATCGTTTATTAAATTGAGTGTGTTTATGACACTTCCAATTTTCTGTGGTTTAACTAAAAATGATAGATGTACACTGAGAGAAGTAATTGATTTTTTTTTTTTGTTTCAAACAAGTAACACATTCTTAACCAAACATTTTTCATAAAATTTATCATCATTAATATTATTGTTTAAATAAAATGTTTATCATCTTATTTGAAAAAACATTATAACATTTATCAAAAAATATTTCAATATAAATAATAATTTACAATATCAAATTGTAGATCTTGAAATATTTTAATGATTGTTTTTTTTTTTTTATAATTATAAATCAAATACATATAAAGTTTTGTGTTAATTAAGATAATTAATTTATATACTTATTTAATTAGTTGTACATGTAAAGAGATTCTCATCAGTGTAAATCTAGAATTAAAATTTCACATTCACACATTTGCCAATTAGTAAAATAACTTTAGTATTATCTTACAATAACAAAGATTTATTTATTAATGTTATAATTGTTATTTATTCTTAAAAAAACAAGGCCACACAATTTAAAAAATTCTTGCAAATAAAGAATCTCCTCTCATTCAATCAGATCAATTCAATATCATTATTATCATTATACGCAGCACGTGACTTTTATTTTATGAAGCTTGTTACGAGTACATATTTATTAACAATCAGGTTTTTTTTTGTCATTATTTTAAGTGCCATTAGAACTGAAAAATTTATATAAACTATTGTTTATTATTAGGCCAGGCTCAGACGATTGTATTTTTAGCCAACGGATTACCGGAGTAAATAACTCTTATTTTTTCTGTTTATTGAAAGACTGAATCAAAATTTTAATTTACTTTATATTTGAACAAATGCAAGAGTTATTTCTCTGGTTAACCGAGAGATAAACCATCACCGGCTGATCACAGCGTTTTGGTATTGTCACATCACCACATTCAATATACATAGGGTGCAGACAACGTTCTTTCAAAAAAACAATTCATCAAAAGTACAGCCGTATGCCACTTTTACCATCGTCTGAAGACATGGAATATGGCAGTTTGACATTTTAACGATACTACTAATGTAATTTTTAGTTAATTAATATTACGTTATCATTAGAAGCATCACGTAATTTAAAAAAAAAAACAATTGTTCTATTTTTATTGTTATTACTATTATTTTTTAATTCAAATTTCTATCAAGGCTTCATTTCATTTTTTTTTTGTTGGCATTGAAGACTAATCAAAATAAAAATATCTAATGAAAAAGCAGTGGTGAATATGCACTAAGTTTTCTCTATCATCTATTGACAATTTTGGTTAAAAGAAAATTAATTTTCAAAAACTCAATTATGCATTCATTTTTCATGATATTAAAATTGACTTAAAGTAGAACACAGTTTTTATTTATTTATTAAACTTAATGTTAAACTTAAATTACTTATTTCCTCTTGATATTTAAAGCATTACCGCGCGAAAGTCTTGATTTATAAATAAAACAAAACTTTATTTTGTGCTTTAGATAAAAATAATACTAGATGTAAAGTATATTTCTGCTATTATTCTGTGTATATTTCTTATAATAATTATTAAATTATTCTTACTACTAATTGTGCTACATTGTAAAGCCACTATTAGTTAATGGAATTGAAGAAATAGACTCAGTGCATGTGAGCTATTATTTTTTCATTCAGTTCAATGCAAAATGATGATCGAATAATAGTTAAAAAAATTTTTTTAGAAAGATAAATTTACTGATGAAGTAATAAACATAATTAAAAATATATTAATAATGTTAATATTAAACAAAACATCATTATTAGATTAGCTAATAAATTTCCCATTTGTCCATTTTTTACACTTAACTATTATTGAGATTCGTAAAATGTCTTTTATTCAGTATAATAATAAAATCCTTTAATACTTATTATTTAAAATTTTCTCGAAATATAAGTAGCTCATGCAAATGATGGATAATTTTTTAACCAATCTAATAGTTATAATAAAATATATCTTTAAATACTGACAAATATTTCAATGATTTAATAAATATTTCGATAATTAATTGATTACTATTTAATTAAACTAAATATTTTATAAATCAATGAAATACTTATTTAGCAATGTTAAAAATAAATCCACAAATGATGATATTACTATAATTTTTTTCAAATATAAATCAAATAAAATAATAGTATTAATTATAAAATAAAAATATTCTTTTCTAAAATGAAATTTAACAGTTTGTAGACTATTAAATTCGGAAACAAAATTATATACATGAGTCATGGCCAAACCAGATGTCAATTTTTTCATAAACGATTTTCTTTGGTATTATCAGAGCATTTAAGATGTTTATATGACTCTCTAAATATAGAAATAATTATTTAATTATTAAAAAGAAAATTAAATTTATAGGATTATCTGTAAATAATTCTGAAAATAATTGATGTATAATATAATGAGTTATATCTTTCATACTACTACGTTATAACACTCATTCATATGATACTTAATTATTATGTTGAGAAAATAACTGTTTTTGTTTCTTTTTTGCATACAGCAAGCAAAGTATTTCAATCTTCAATTTATTTTTCAAAAATTATTTCTTGAATTTTAACGACCAATTTTATTTGATCGAATGTTTATCTTGTTTGATAGCTAATTTTCACAGGTTTCACTATTTATTTTAAATGTTTATCCATTTTTTTTTCAAGAAATTGTTCTCATTATGTAATTTTCACTTCTCTCTGTCACATTTTCAATATTTTTATCACATAATACCATATTGTGTTAAGTAGGCTAAGAGTCTATCACGAAAATGATGTCATGACATCAGAAAATTGAATTATCGTTTATAGAATCCTACTTATGATTGCTGTTCCATTTATTATCGTAGAATATAGAAATATTTCCAACTTGAATTCATTAAATAGTAGATGTGGCCATATATAGCACGATAAATATTGTACGTTCACGTGATTAATCGAGGGCTGTGTAAACCTTCAACCTGAGTATCTATTTGAGGACAATGTTGAGTATCTGGAGGACCCCAGTCATGGAGATTTCCACTGTTAGCTAATCTGTGTGTCAGACGGTGAGCTATAGAAAAGCCCCCGCTGCCTTCTAATTGTGTTAATACTATAATCACTTGCCTGTAAATAAGAAATTGATAGGTCAATTTCAATCAAACTTTCAAAATAGAATAAGAAATAACAAGATATTTTTAAAATTAAAAAAAAATTAATTTCTATAGTAAATTTTGTTCAAATGAATTTCGTTTTTTTTCTAAATAGCCAATAGAGAAGTTTATTGAACCTGTTTGTATAATTAGTTTACTCATATAAATAACTCTTTCTGATAGTTCTAAAAATAATAATTATATATGGTCTTCTCTTTTGATTGTTTTATCTATTATTTATGAGCATATTATTTATACTTATACAACAATTATAAGATTTATTCAAAAATAAACCTACCGATGAAGTGGAGGTACACTGTCAGCTGTTCTTAATTGTCCTCTTGTTGAAACTACATTGTAGCTTTCATGGCAGTCACATTTAACATGAATCCATTTATTTACGTGGCGATTTTCAACCATCACTACTAGACCAGCCCAACCTTTTGTAAGATAATAAGCTGTCATTCCTTCTCTTCCCTGAAACAATGTGAAAAATTTTCATTATCATACATATTAGTAAAATTCAAAATAGCTAGGAAAATAATACAAACTTCGTGACGTTGCCCTTTCGCTAAGGTCAAGCTAATAATAGCATCAGCCAAAACGAAAGCTGGAGGCGATATTTGCTCTACAAGAAGTCTTTTAGAACTATGTATAGCTAACACATATTCCGGATAACTGGATGTATCCTCCATCCCAGTATGCCAATGGTTGAATGCGAGACAAACAACTATATATAGATCTCTTTCTAGCATTTTGTGACAACCCACAAAACCTCGTACTTGCCGTTTACTATGTTCTACTAATCGACCAACTTCAGGAGCAGCTGGAGATCGTGTACGAAAAACGACGACACATAAATCCAATTGTGATCGTTGCGATTTTTCAGAGTTTCTGAAATTAAAAGTACATTTTTTTTCTTAGTAAAATAAATAAGCCAATTATTTATGATAGTTTAAGCTATTTTAAATTGAAAGAAGCATTATTTATTATTAACAGTCAAGCAGACATGAAAAATAGCGTTATTAAACCATCATTTCAATAACATCTAAAAAAATAATTATTAATGTTAAAAATTAATCTATTTACCGTTGGCCTTCTTGAAATAATGTAAATTCCGTCTCTGTAGGCTCAAGCACCGTCAATAGCACACAAGATAAATGTCTTAATGATGACAGTGGTGGTAGAGTACCACGTAATCGAACTTCACTCCATCCAACTCTAGTTTTACAAATATCAATACAATCAAAGTATTTAAGAACATCGTCAAAAGATATCCAAAAGACTCCGTCAGAAGCACCATGTGGCATTAGCATTTCTCTTAGCGTTGGAGTCCATGTTGGACTATCATCTGACCAATCTCCTTTCCAACTATAATGACCCCAAGGATTACGTAACCGTAGCAATCTTATACCTTGAACATCTCTCACATCAAGGACTGAATATGCATGTCTTGGTCTTAATCCTTTCCGTTGATATTCTTCTTCATCTACTTTCATGTTACCACCACCACAACTTGCACCCATTAGAAACATTGCTTGTCGAGATGAGAGAAGCTGAGCCCAAATTAAATCTTTATCTAATTCATCTTCACTAGGTAGTGCAGAAGGTTGTAAAGGTACACTCTCACAAGGAGCTCCAGTGAGAGTAGCTAATCCTTCAATAGCTCGTCCAGAAACTAGAGCTTCATAACATCCGTGAATTTTAGCTACTGCTTTTTCAATTAGCGGCACCCATAACTGTTTTCTCTTGGCCTATTGAATTAATGAACAGAAAGAGGTTAATTAGAGATAAGTTAAAGAAATTTTCTTGATATTTGTAGAAAAAAAAAAAACTTCATTAAAAATACAAACAAAAACTACTAGATTGAGAGATCATTATTTTCAGATTTTTCCAAAACTAACTTGCTATATATAGAGTATTAAAAACTTTATAAATCAAATTAGAGAGAAAAAATATTGATAGAAAAAGAATTACTTTAATATTAGATTACCTGAGAATAAACCAAATGACCTCGTTTGTCACATGGTAAAAGATCATCAACAAGCACTGTAGTCCACTTTCCATCTTTGCATAATCGAACCTGATAAGCACCTTCCGGGCATGTCTCTCGCATGACTAACACTCTTCTTACAAGCTCATCACTTTCTGCAAGTACAGCAAGTGCTGAGAGTAACCAACAATTTCCTAAAACACCCTGTGAGATATCTGAAGGTAAAGGTGTTCTGAAAACCGCCCAAGGCAATTTTGAATCAACACTAGAATCAACATTTATCTGGTGTGGTCTTCTCCATTGCACTACATGATTATCTTTTGTTTCTGCGGGATTATAGTAAAGTGACTTTGGTGCTGGAGGAAAAGAATCATCAACGAATGGTTCATTTGTCTGTAATAAAAAAAAAAAAATAACCATTTTGAGAATAGTTTCAATTATTAGTATTGTTACAATATTATTGATAAAAAGACAAAGATGGAATGTATAATTAATTGTATTTATTCTTCTAAACTACTTTGAATGAAAATTTTCTAGAAGAAGAATTCAGCAAAAAAGTTTTCAATTTAATTTTCTTTTATGTAACTTTTATGAAAAATAGTATTTACATTTAATTTCTCGTGACAGATATATGGAGATTACGAGATAAAAGGCCAAAAAAAAGAACGAAAATTTTGACAAAAGCTCTTTACAAAATTATTATAACATAGTTTTCAACGATGTAAGATTTTTTTTTCTTACAACCAGTACTTTATGCTGATTGTGCCATTTAAGAATTGAATAATAAGTATGGTATATAACAGTACTGACCTCTTTGCAATATCGCACAATTCTTTCCCACTTTTCTAAGGCTTCCCTTTCCTCAATATGTCGCAAATTTTCCATTACTACACTTTCTTGCCTTTGTATCCTTAAAGTACTTCTTCCAGGTTCATTAAATCGTGGTCTGTCACCGGGCGTTTGCGACAAGGACTTGGAACTTTGGCACATTTCACAAACTCCATTTGTGCTCTTATTTTCATATGTGCATACCTTGCATTGCCACTGTAAATAAAAGAGCAAAATAATCAATTCTTTTCTTCAAAAATGATAGAAGAAAAACGAAAAAATGATTAAACTATTTCTCACCTGACTAACACTAGATTCTTTTGTTTTAGAGTGCTTTTTATCATTCTGAATACTTGGTCCATTTCGTCTAACAGAATTTTTATGCCGAGGTGTAGAAATTCTAATATTACTTGAAAGTCCACTAGATAATCTTGGGCTAGGACTTCGTTGACCGGACACTCGATTATCCCTTGGGATTTCTAGAAAGTCTGCTAGGGTTTTGCAAGCATTACAATTCTGAGCAGTAAGAGGATTCCTTAAAGTACACGATGGACAAACCCAACTTTCTCCTTTCCTTAACGTTGGATCTTCGATATGACTGATACTACGTAACTTAGAACCACCGCATGCTTCACATGTAGTTCTAGAAGCTGCATTAAGTAGGGTACACTTTTTGCAAGTCCATGCTGGCAATGATGGCTCAATGTGATCTTCTAAATCGGACTCTGCAGTAGCCAGGGTTGCTTTAGGTGGAATATATCTCACACTATCCCGCGACACAACGATCGGAGACTGAACTTGCGAGCGACAATTTATTGAATCCTTAGTCACAGTAATTAAATTAGATTGTAAAAGTGACGAGGGTGTTCTTGTAGAACTGCAAATATCGCAACCCATCGACCAAAGGGGATTATAAGCATAAGAGCACTTTCGACAGGTCCACATACGTTTAAGAGGACTAGACCCTGGAGTTTCAACTGGACTGGTAGATTCACTGTGAGCTCGTGATACAGTTAGCGCTAGTTTGCTGCTCTGCTTCTTCGGCAACGGTGGAGGAGCATCAGGGTCGGTAATTCCAATATAAGAATACTTAGGCCGCGAATTAAATCCAACAGAGTGAGGTGGTACTGCAGGAGGTTCATCATCATTCAGACTCCGTCGATTAACTGTTTTTTTCTGGGTAGCATTAGCAACAGTATCAACTTCAGAGAAAGATCTACGATACGATAAAGGTCCTGCTGAAGAGAGAGGTCTAGACTCCCAAGAAGGTACACTTATTACAACTCCACTACAAGGTGCTGGACTTCTTGGAGCTTCACATGCTTCACATTGTTCTAATTCCGCTGAATTATCAAGTGTACAATTATCACAACTCCATAAACTATCATCTTGATGCGCTTCAGAAACAATCAGACTTGTGGGTCTTTGTATTCCATGATCTGACAGTTTTTGTACCCCAGTTCCATTTGACAATGACCGACTAACTTTTGATTTAACTCGTTCATAGACAGAAGGACTGTGACGTTTTGGCGATCTTTGTGAAGCATCTGGAGTTTCTCCAAAAGACAAAACTGAAGGATCCATCGTTTCTACAGGCGGTAAAGTCCAATCTTCTCGATTAGATTGACTTCTATCTCTTTGACTTAAACCACTCAACTGTGCCATACCTTCGTTTCTATCCAATACAGCTGCTGAGCCAAGATTAGCACAGCTAACGTCGAGGATACGTGTTACAAGACCTGCAGTTACTGTAGCAACTAAATCTACTCGAGGCTCTTGTTTATTACTTAATTTTAAAGCTTTCAATTTTTTTCCTCGTCTCACGCCAATCAAATTTCCATTTGTTTCTGCTATCGATGAACTCGCACCACAGGCTGTGCAAATTGGTGTTGCACTGCAACAGTTGGCTTGTAAACATCGAATGCAGGTCCAACGTGTTACAAGAAGTGGTAATGAAGGTGATCTTTTCAGATGTTGCCTTTGACACGATACACCTCCCCACGAATTTCTTCGATTAATTTTACTTGAAACTTCTATAGTTGATGGGTTTATCTTAGTGCTGAAAATAAAACATACTGAGTTAATATTGGATTTAAATTCATCTAGAATCAAAAAGTTAATATTTCACTCTTAAACTTGAAACTAGTTTTATGTTCATGAACATAAATCACTCACATCAATAAATTATTTAATAAAAATAATTTAACTATGAAAATTAATAAATTAACCACTGTTACAATAAATATACCATCAAAGATAATAATAATTAAATCAGCTTGACCGATAAGAAGACTTTGATAATATTTATTCCAAGGTACAAACAATAATAATAAAAATTGAAATGGCTTCCAAGCTGATAGAGATTAAAGGGGTTTCCAGGAAATCACAACATATAAACATTCTCACCCAAGAGCAAGTAATGGACGTTCATTGTTGTCATTGTTGACATTGATACAGTCAATATCTCGCGTCACATCACTTGAAGTTTGCCTTGGCAGTGGGGTTGGTGGCTCAGAAGCCGATGTAGACGAGGATAAGGACGTGGAGGACGGGGTTAGGGTGTCTGTTGGTGAAGCCACCTCCAGAGGATTAATTTCTTGTTGCGTCAATGCTCCGATTTCTCGCGAATTAATTGGGTGGCCGCAGCCAGGGCAGATCGTCGTCTCGACGTCGTTCACGAGGTAGGCACAGGCCGTGCAACGCCAGCGCGGGAATTTGGCGGCGTGCGTGGCCATACTCGTTGACCGCGAGTGATCATCATCCCACGAACCGTTGTCGCGGATTTCGCGATCCCGTGGCCGGCGTGGCCTGGCCCCTTCTTCTTCCTGTCTGCCCGCCACCCTCGGCAGTGCCCCGTAAGTCAGTATCGCTGACAGAACCGCTTCAAGCGGCTTGTCAACCGCAATTTGCAGTCCATCTGCATTATCATTTTTATTGTCATATGTTCGCAAGCAGCCATCTTGCTCTAGGGCACGAGGAGGCAAACACCCGACTCAACAACAAGACGGAAACCAACCACACTCGCGCCAAACACTTGTCAGTACCTCGGGCTAATGAATCCCGTACTCCAGGGATTGCCCACACTACTATTTACATTTAACCCATCGTTTATACACCATCAATACCACTTTTAACTTTCTCGGTTTTTTTCACCCCCGTAATTCACAGTTTTTTCTTCACCAACTTCTCCTGACGATGCCGTTGTGTTGACTACGAGAAACGTAACACAGGACCGTCACTCGTCGACAACTGTCACTTGCACCACAGCCATTAAATCGAAATTTTTTTTATTTACTTCACTTTCTCTGATGCTTCAATCAAAACTTTCTTCAGGTAAGTGATAAGATGTATTATTATAAATTATTATTTTATGTAATTATTTACAATAAATAGTAAGTGTTGTTATTTATTTATAATGTTGGATTATTAATACAGGTATTTGTTCATACGGCCCTGGAATGATGAGACTCGTGGACGGAGCTGCCATCTACAACTAGCAAATTTTATGCTCATCTGCTTGTGTAATCATTATAGGAACTTTTCTATCACCAAGTCCCTGTGGCGCAGAGGATAGCGCGTTGGACTTCTAATCCAAAGGTCGTGGGTTCGATCCCCACCAGGGATGACTCTATCGAGTAGAGATTATACTCTGCTCTTTTTTGCAATTTATTTCAAGGGATTTAGTAATGGTTTGACATTTAAAATTATCTCCAATACTCCATAACTCTAAAGAAATTTTATAACATTAAAATTACGTTATCTTTTTAAAACACATTGTTATATAAGTAATTTATTTGACAAAAAAGAAAAAAGAAAATTCCTGATAGTAAGATAAAGTGAGTTTTTAATTAAATTTTCAATGATTACAATGAATGTAATTAAAATTTTACATCAGTTATCTTTAATTATGAATCTCTAATTTATTTAAAATAATTTAAAATAATTTGCTATTTTTTTAAATCAAATTTTCTTGACTTTAAATTGTTGACTTTCTTCGGTTTGTTCAGGAGCATAATGGTTTAGAAATAATCATAAAAGTCATTCCACTCTCTGGTAGACGATATTATCGTTCTCTCAGAGCAATCACACAGCGAAAGTTTTTAACGATTGGCTCTTTAAGTCAGGAAGGAAATAAAACCTGCACTTTCATCGATTTTCCATGCGGAAAATAAACAAAATCAAAAAGTATATCAATGTAACTTGCAATTATTGGCAATTGGATGCATTTTTATTTTTTTTTTTATTCTCAAATTAAAATAAAAAACAAAAATATATGTTGGTATGAATATTAATATATATGGTAATTCATGAATATGAAACTGAATGTTACAAATGAAAAAAATATTTTTCAATACTTCTATAAATAGTATTTTATTTTATTTACATAAATAAACAGTATAATTAAATTTCACTAAGAGAACAGTTAATATCAGACTAAGGAAATGATATCATGTAATTTAGGTTTATTTTTAAAATTATTTACCTAGTGGGTTCACTGTTAAAAATTCAGTGATTTATTTATATGATTAAACATTGATTAATAATGAAATTTCTAGATTGATTCTTCTCTAGAGTTAATTATTAAAATACATATTAAATCAATAATTCCAAGAGATCATACCATTGAGTTATTTAATTTAGATAAATGAATTATTTAGCAAGAAATTATCTTTCAATACATCAAATATTTATGAGTGTAAATATAAATCACTACCTCAACATAATAAAATGTTATTAAATATGCACATATATTTAATTACATTAACACATTTTTTTTATTTAAAGTAAAAAAAAAAAAAAAAAAACATTCAATTATTACAAAAAATATCCAATTCATGTTTAACAATAGACTTTGTAAATTAATAAAACGTTCTAAAATGGAGCACATAAATATTTTATGTTTTGTTTATGATATTTTATGTTGAATATTTATGAAATGTTTCATTTTTAAGTGCTTCTGAAGTAGTGTAAAAATAAAATACTGTAAAAAAGCTCATATTTACATTGTTAAGTACAAAAATTTAACTTCAATGGTACATGTTGAAGCAGTTTGAAAGGAAAATTAATTTAATTCTAATAAAACATACTCGTTGATTGTTAATCTTAATTTTCAGTTATAAAGATTGATCAGAGAAAGTGTTTATACAGTAGTGTGTCATTGGAACAAACATTTATTTTATCCATTAACTGAAAGGTGTTGAAAGTCAAATAGTTAAGTAGTTTTAGATTAGAACTTTAGTAATAAACACAATAGGATAGCTATATGTTTAAAAATTTTGTCCAACAATAACACTTGTGGCTGTGTAAAATTTGGCAATGTAATTAAATAGAGGAAAAGAAACGTTTATTTATAAATCCATATATATTTTTTTTTATATCACATCATTACACAGCTCTCCAGTGTTCAAAGTCTTTTGTGTATAAAGCTGACAAAACCGCAATATTTTTTCACTTTTTTTCATTTGGAAGACTTTTTACAGCCGAGAAGTAGAACGAAAATATATGTATATATATTTATAACGGTCTTGCAAAAGAGTAAGAAGCAAAGTCACTCAGAGAACTAAAATTAGGGCAGCATGGAACTTCCTAGAGTCTCTTCAAGACTGACATCAAAGAGCCGCGTTAATTGAGTCACTCTCTTCGGTTTCAATGATTCTTATATGACAATTATATTTATTTAACATCATTTTTATATACCAATAAAACTTGGGTAAACAAATTTAATCTATAATATTTTTTTTATAATGATTATTGTAAATAACAGGGTATTAAAATTATTTTTGAATTCTTCTTGACTGGTTCAAGTAAAAGTAATTAAATAATCGCAACAATGTGATAAGTGTTTTGAAGGTTTAATATGTTGATAAAATTATTAACTAAGTTGATAAATTATATAATTAATCATACTCCCTTATTTTAATAAAAATTATTTTATATATCTTTAAAAAAATAATTAAATTAATTCAGATGTTTCTTTGAAGAGATGTAAAAATTAATAATATTTATTATATAATTAATTTTTAATAATATCACTTATTTTAACAATTTATTTTGTTCGTTTATTCTGCTTCTACAAATAAAAACCAGACAGTAAACTCAGGCAAATGATTTTATGATCAAAGTTTGATAACATTAATATATTTTAAATAAAAAGAAATAATTTAATTACCTGTAATAATTGAATATTAAGTTCAATGTTCGATAACATGACTAAAAAGAGAAGGTAATAAAAATATTTAATATTTTAAATGAATTAATTAATGGAACTTTTGAATTAAATTAATCAAAGTAAATTCACGATAATGTAGAAATTTTTATACTAAATTAAAAATTAATTTAACTTTCATAAAATTAAATGAATGTCATACTTGAAAGAATCTTTCAAGTACACACAAGTATTAATACAATAATATAAAAAGAATCTATTTACTTAAGTCTTGAATTATCTAGAAATTCTTAATTTATAATTAATGTGAATGTCATGAACAAATCTCTGTCAACAAAATTCTTAGTATTATGTTGAAAAATTTGTTACTAGAATAAAATATTATTTCTTGGAGATTACAATAAATTTCGGTAAACAAATAATTAAAGCCAAAAAACTAATTACTTGATAAGAAGTGCTAGTTTAATTAAAAAGTAATCAGAAAATAAATAGGTAACATCTTCAATTCACATTAGATAATGAAAAAAGTTGATAGAAAATGAATATCATTGATTGATAGTCTATTTAAAAGCAAACCTTAATTGACTAAGTAGCTAATAAATTAAAACATACATGTCATGTTCTATTTTTCTCATTGGACATAGGCCAATGTTTTATTCACTCACGTTGGACCTTTCGAACCACAAGATCACAGACTGTTTGGCGTCGTCTAATCACATACTGTTGAAATCACTTGGTATGGTCGTAATCATGTAAAAATATCTCTTACGATTATTATTTGTATTATCATGTTGTGAAAGATGTCAAGTGGATTTCTATAGTTTTATTGATTGATGGATTCTTAACATTTATTTTAACCAATAAAATAGTTGAGATTATCCAAATTAATAAACCTAGACTGTTGTTGCTATTTAGGAATAATCATAAATGTTTTTTGAATGAACTTGCAGTTGATCTATTTTAGTCTTCCTTTGTCTGGATGCTAAACATCAAGTGATTTAGACTTTTCTTTTGGCCATTGAATTTTAAGCTATGAAATACAATTAGACTAAAATGACAATTTTAGCATAAATTTCTGTACTTAAGTACATTACATATCACAACCTTGCTTCAACAATGAACTTGATTGCTTCTTGATTAGGTTTTCCAACAAGACCTTTTGAAGGTAATATAATTAAGGTCTAAGCTTTATATTGCTTCATTGACAACTCATACATTATTAAGTATCACGTAATGCATGTTGATGTAATAATGAATCACATGATTTTATATTGCATTGATTGTTTGTAAATTGGTTATAAACATTCTGGTAATAAAAATGATTAAAAATCTGGTGATTGATTATCAGCATTACTAGTATAATTAATAAATGTATAATAAAGTCAAGAAGCATTATTATCATTAACTATTATTTTTTGAATCATTGAGACTGTTATTGATATACCTGAAGAATAATTAAGTACAAATTACTCTGTCATTCAGAGTAATTATCTTGACAGAGTACATCAAAATTTGCTCTTGACATTGATAATATTTTTTTTAGAGTAAACATTGCTCTGCAAATTATAAATTCTTTTTTTGCTATTCAATAATAATAAATGAATAATAATTATAAATAAATAAATAATATAATTATTATAAATAAATTTTTGCTATTCAATCAACTAAATATTATTCTAATCTCCTTTCAATTGTAATTTTTATTTCAACAATTTATTTGTAAAATAAAAAAAAATGAAAGCTATTTTTTTGTTATAGAATAATTACTCATTGTAGTAGTTTAAATAATTATTTAGAATTAAAATATTAGATTGCCTGAGCTAAAAGTCTTTTTAATTGAAGGCCAAAGCAGGTATAAACCATCAAGATGAATTGATGTAAAAATATTTTGATAAGCCATTACACCATTCTAATTTTAAAATATCACTCATCATTGATTACAATAAAAGCTCACAGTGAAAACAGGAAATGAATTAAAATATTTCGTGAATTATTTTTTTTTCTTTCACTCACGAGTCAGGAAGTACTTAGAAGTTTCTTGGCTCGGCGAGCATGGAATTACTGCGACAATTAACAGGAAGAGTTGGATCAGTGACAATCAAATGATGTAATTAACGTTTATGAAACGACTGAACAAATGAACCAGCGTTAAAACTTATTTCTTATTGGCTAAGCTAATGGGTCAGGGACTATAATATTTCATACTAACGATAGCTAACGATTTGATTAGAGATAAATCTATTCTTTAATTATAAATGACGGTAAAAAGACCAAAGCATATGGGTAAATTACCGTGAATTTGTTTTTATTTATTTTTATAACATTCTTAACTACAACGTACATAGTTTGTAAAAAAAAAAAAGCTGTTTTATTTTTAAATGTTTAAATAGCAAAATGTTTTCACTGCTTGAACTAATTTAAACGATTCTTTTAACCCTATTTCTAAGAAATTTTGGCAATCAGCCGAGTATTCTTGGATATCTGGGTAAATTTTGTCCCAGTACATGCTAACATTCGTGATAAATGTCAACCAACAAA